TTTGTCAGATACTGGTATTTTGAGTTGTTTCTCAAGACCTGGCATTGGAACATCTGAAGATGATAACTGAGCCAGATGCGGCGCAACTTCTTGTAAAGAAATTGTCGACTTCCCTCTGGTAAGAAGCCAAGGATGCAGCAATACCATCAAAAGGTCGCCACACATCTCCTAGACCTGCACAGATGTGGGGGGAGTTTTAAATGATAAAATTGCTGATTTTTAATTGTTCTTGATACTCTTTCTGGAACCAAGCTTCATGAGGGGTCTCAGGTTTTCGAGCAGTTGAAGCTAAACGACGTTCCAAGGCCACACTATTGTGCCATCATTGCAGAATATCGAGCAGAATTTATCTTTTCTTCTCATTCTGACTAAGACTGATGTTTTCTGCAATCCTTGCTGCTTCCTCTTTCAGCACATTTACACGCCTCATCACATCTGCAACAAGACTAATTAAGGCCCAATTCCATCATCAAAGAAGACAGAGACAAATATCCCATAAATAGGAAATTTCAGGCCATGTTTGGTTTCTGTTTTTAAAATTGTTTTCTGTTATTAAAAATAAAAAAATTTGTTTCAGTTTATGGGTTTAAATGTTTTCAAAAATTTTCTCATATTTTTGTTTTTTAAAACAAAAAATGGAAACAAGTTAGAGCTATTTTCGTTTTCTTCTTTTATTTTTAAAGCACATTGTATTTAATTATTGTAACTTACCTTCAATTATGGTCAACCACTATCATAGGTCATCAACATTAAACCATTGGCAACCACCACTGTCGGCCTCTTTTAAACTCTCAAATTGTTTCAAATTAAATTAATCAAACAGATATCATTTTATTTTGTTTTGAAAAATAATTTTTATAAAATTGGTTTACAAAATAGTGTTTTGAAAACAAAAAATGAGACAAAACCAACAAAGCCCTTCATCATTTATTCTGTCTTGTAGGCAAGGAAAGAGGCATAATGATAAAACCAAAAAAACAACCTGTGGTAGATCCTGAAGAGTACTGAGCCACAATTCCTCCCAGAGAACATAAACATTGCTGAGTTCATTTATCATTAGCTGAACATCCTGAACCAACCTAGGGTAAAGTTCCCTCTGCATGGTAAAAAGTGGGTTTTAGTAGTCTCATTCTCATACAGTAAGTTGAATGGGCAAGCTCACTAAAAATTATTCAAAAGCAATAATTGCTCTTGAATACAGCCAAATTAACGAGCGTATATTATGATGAATATGTCTGGTCGAAACTAACAGGTTCATATCAAGAAACTTACTGAACAGAAAGCTGGATTACCCTCTTATTTGTCATTCAACGTTTGAAAACAAGCTATTGAGTGCATATCATGATGCCCCTTACTACAATCAGTCAATGCTCCAAACACATTTGAGAATAAAAAGCAAACTTCAGATAGGACTTCTACTTACGCTAGCAGGTCTTCAGTATTCTACAAAGCTGGGAACATATTTTAGCATGCCACCCAAGCCTTAGGTAACGAACCCGCCAGAATAGAATGGCAATTTGGATTTTGGATTCACAAAGTTGAGGCCATGAGAACGGAAGAGGAATAAGGTGCATCAGGAACAAACCAGGATACACAGGTCTCATTTTATTTGCAGAATCAAAGGCCATGGAATAGAAAAGAATGATAAAAGATATGGATGGAAAGAATTATGTTTACTATAGTTAATAATGGAATAGGAATATGACAGGTACCTTAGCTACTAAGGCATGAAAACCAACCCACTTAAATACCCTATTGAGCATCCCATGCCACTCAATATGAGACTTGGTCCCATATTACCCAAGTCTCCATAAAATACCTTTCCAATAGTTTGTTGGGTAGGATAAAAATAATGAAGAAATCAGAACAAATGAGAGCAAGATGACAAAAATACCTCTAGCCGAGGAAAAAAAAATATTTAGTTCAGAAATTTTTTAATTAAATTTAAATTTAATTTCCTATAATCCAAGAAATTATAATTAGATTTTATAAAATTTATGATATAATTTTTAATATTAAACTTTGTTAGTATTTCATAAAATTTATTAATATGACCACTTTTATATTATTATAATATTGCAAATATTTATTATTCATATTTACAAAATGGATAGAAATAGTACAATTGCCAAAAAGGATGGCTTGTTATCTCCATCTCCTCCTTCGTGCCAATGGAAGGAAAAAATGAGCTCGAAGTTCAAACCCTTCAAAAAGCTTTTATACTATGTATCCAAGGGCATATCTGGTAATCAACTTTTTCCCTCAGATATTTTATTGTTGACACCAAAACACACAGTAATCCAATTTACCACTTCTTTCCCATTGATCGCAGAGCACGCAGTGAACCAAACATATTAAGGATAAGCTATTCACCGTTTCCATCTCCATCAAGCTACTAAATGGGGCCACACTTGGACTTTTTCAGGTTGAGAGGCAATCAAAGAATAGCCAATTTATGGTAAGTAAAGACACAACCAAGAACTACTGGTAATTATTATTATTATTATTATTATTATTATTATTATTGCCAATGAAATTTACTAGCAATTATTGAAACATTTGCCCTGCAGTAATTTAACACCCAATTATCAACATGACGTGAATGGAAAATAAAATTTTGAAAATAAATACACCATATCAAAGAGAAATTTTCAGTACCAGACAACTCAGCACATGATGTAGCTCTTCTGAAGGCCTCTCTTCATAAGCATTAACATCACTAGTGTTGGGTACACTATGGAACAGGGAGACTGCTTAGCCAGCATAATCAGTAAGCCCTCCAGATGCTTCCGGATCACTTGTTCATGGTGAGAACTTATGCGAGCAAATAATTGAGGGGTAACTTCCTACAAAAGACAACCATAGAATTCCATAAAAACTATCCTCTATTGAGAAAAATGAAGTAATTAGAAGTAAAAATGCCAAGATCCAGCATGCAACCTGCCATGGCAACAAAGGGACAACCATAAGAGCAGATTCAAGCGTATCTTTCAACTCCACACCATAATTGAGAAGTATATGCAATATGTACAATATAGCCCTCAGAGTGTAGCTTCCAGTCTTTTGCTTCAAAGACTCATCATTTGAAACAGGCATCTGATTCTGGCAAAGCTGGGTAGATGAATAAGAAAGATATTGTATATAACCATAAGCTGCATGCCCAAACAGGGACACTCTTCTCCTCCTCAAAGACCACCAAATGTTGACTAAGTCATCCAAAGTAGATATTACATCAGATTCCCGGAGCCCAAGATTTGCATTTAACAAACAAATTTTTAACCGAGAAGATAGCATGACTGAAAGACTTTCCCCACCACAGTTTTCTGCACCTGGTGCCGCAGCCACTGTTTCAATAATATTCACTAACTGCAGCACTAATGTTGTTAGAGGGTTGTCGCTATTTGATTGCTCTTGTGAATCAAGCCAAAATTTCCAACCTTCTTGTTCATCTTTGAAACATTTCATATCACCCTTGTCCTGTAAAAGGTTCAAAATCAATGATTTAACCTGTTGTACCTCATCCTTAGTCAACTTAAATCTCTCAGGTGAAACTTCAGAAATAAGTATTGGAGAGAAGCACGAACGAAGGGCAGCTTCATTATTATTAAGTTGTGAGTCCTTGGCTTGCTTGAAACACCAAGAGGCATAAGAAATCCATGACTTGCCCATGGTGGGGCAAATGCAAGTAGACAACTTTGTGGATGTGCCAACAATCTCCTCAGTAACCTGACCCACTATGCTTAAATCTCATATTCTCTTCATTGCCATCCTCATCAACTGAAGGGATTTCAGCCCTTTCAAAATCTGCAAGTATGTTAAGAACTACATTATTGGGAGTCCAATCAGAATAATTTTGCCTCAGCCACTTTGCAAGCTTCAAGCATGCTCTGGCCCTCAGAATCTTCTCATCAACGTCAGACATTCTATAATCTAAAGAAACCATACAAGGACGCAACAATGACCAGAGGTTTGTGAAAGCATCTTCAAACTTGTTTTCTGCATACAGTAGCAGAATGCTCTCATACTGTAAATTTAAAGAGAGAAGATCACGATGCCTCTCTTCAGGACAACTGGATATGCAATCTTTGAGACAGTTTTTCAAACGATTTGCCAACAATAGGTTTCTTTGTCTTCGGGCTAAATTCAGCAAATTCATGCAGAGCTCCATACAAACTGAAGAAGTTGAGAACATTGCTTGGTATACTCGAAGAACCTTCAACCATGGACTACAATCTTGACGGATTTTGCTAATAGAAGATGGCACCGACTTAATATAGGAATTTAATATTGACTGAGCATGTTTGGCCTCGTCATGTGTTGATTTAAGCTTGCAATCCTCTTCTAATAAGAAAATGCAGTGCAACTGAACAGCAAGAGGTGTTGCTTCAGCCAACCCTTCAAGTGGCAAAATAGATAGAGGCTCCTCCAACATTGATCTAGCCTTCTGCAAATCAAGAATCACTTTATCACTCTTTCCCCCCTTTTGGAAAAGCAATGATTGCAAAAGCATCTGCTCACTCCGTTGCAATGCTATTTTTGGATCAAGGGTGAGTTCACTGCTACTTTTAGGTGTCAAATCTAGGCAAGACCAAGCAGCCTGGTAATCACCCTCATCAAAGCGTGCCAACGCATAGATTGCATTAATTTCATTTCCAGCCATAGTTAGAGCCCCAGAATAGCTTTTTCCAGCATGCTTAGAACGAAGTAGTTGCAGCTCTAATAGCCAACTTTCAAGAGATTTCCAATCTGATACAGCAGTATAACTCTCAATTACTCGTGCAATGACAAATTGCACACCATCAGAACCAAGAGAACTAAGTGACTCCTCTGTTTGTAACAAGTGAGTAAAATGAGCAGCAGCACTTTCATATTCACCTCTTGCCTGATATACAAGCCCTGTTATCCATGAAAGAGGGCTGGCTGTGCCAGAGTCATTGAAGGATTGGTTATCATCCCCAAATAAGGAAGAGAATGTTATTGAAACCCAATTTTGCAAGCCAATCAAAGACTCTGGTTCAAAACTCCTGCAAAGAGATAGTGACATGTGCCTTAAAACTTTTAAGACATCTGCTTTATACCTTCCTCTGATACTATGTAAGTTCTCAGCTACTTGAGCTCTTGATTTTTCCTTCAAAGCTGACATGGAAAGATTTTTCAGCTCCTGCAAACGTAGAGTGCAGTATTGAATAATAGCATCATTGCAATGTAGAGCCAATCCAGCATGCATCATTGGTTCACATATACGAGAAAACCACTCTTCACAAACTTTTTTGTTAGCTCGAAAGAACAAAGAACTCTGGCGGGTAGCAGATGGTAAAATGACAGAACCCTCATATGCATTATATACATTTTTCTTTAGAGCCTCAACAAAATCCAGCAATAATCTCATTGGCAATAGATGAGCACCAGAAGATCCTATCATGCTTAAATTTCCATCATTTTGCTCATTATCAAGATGTAGAAGGTGAGCAACATCCAAAAGCATGCGCTCTAGGGCAGCGAATGTTTGAGCAGGTCCACCAAGATTGGTCCTAAGACGCGTAGCAATACAATACCTAGCAGCTTCTTGTACAGCCCACCAGGCACCAGCTAATGAGTTGACAGAACATATTCTTTCAAGAATGTCTTCATCCACTTTTACATCCAACCATACAGCATTAGCACCAAAAGTTCCAGTATCTTCAGGCTGACTAAAAATAGAATCTCTTGAACTCTTGCAGCTGTGAATGAGCCTCTGAATCCAGGAAGAAAGAGGCACCTTCCATCTCTGTGAAATGAAACTTAAGATAGACACAAGTTGTTGTGAATGCAGTTGCAGAGGCAGCTGCTTCAGGGAAAATACTTGCTTCCAGTGCAAGTTGGAAGCATTGCCTAAGCTCAGGTTAACATGCCTAAATCTCCCATAATCATAAAGGCCACAAGCATATACAGTAGTAGGCAAAATATGGGCAAGTAACCTCACATATGCATCCCGTATCTCAACAACTGGATCACCAAGTTTCTCAAGTATCACTTCAGCTAGAGGATAAAAACACACCGGATGTAAAAGTTTTGCTCGCAGAAACACCTCTAAAGTTATTGCAACATGTGATCTCACTTCAATTTCTCTGTCAAATGTAGCACCTAAGAGTGAGAAAACTAATTTCACTACAATATTAGCATGTCCACATGGTTCATAGGAATAAGCATTTGCATTTGAGATCTCATTAATAGCCATAACAATCTCACAGAACTTTTGGCCCCAATGTAGGGCTGCCAGTTTAACTGCAAGAGGAGACGAAACCTGAAGGCCTTTAATCAGGAGCAAGCTATACTTGGCTAGATAGCCAGTAATCAAAGCTGAATGGCCATCACTTAAATGGTCAGCGCTACTCTCCTTTTTAGTTGGAAATTCTATAAAATCATTATCATAATTCCGGTCTCTCACAGAGCACTTGATCATGAGCTCAATTGTAGTCAGCCTCTCTAGTGACTTGAAAATGGCAACCTGCAACTCCAAGTAAGGTTGAATAGGGATTTCAAAAGGATTCAGCTTTTCCGTAATAAAAGACACCAACTTTTCTGACCTCCTAACATACATGGCAACAATTTCTGTTCGGCCAGTCAAATTGCTATCCACAGCCAAGGGAACACATGCCAGTAGAACTTTCAAATCAAACTTGATTAATGAAAATAATTCAAGCTTAGAAAATGTTCTTGAAGTTGTGACACTATTGAAATCATTTGTATGATGAATTTTTTTTCCTAGCATAGCCTTCAACACCTCCAGCTCTTTCATCATTGAGGTAACTGCTTCATTGACAACTTCTTCATTTCCATGTTGAAGCAAGAAAATATAAGTTGCAGCACAACTTCCTGTTACTAAATGATTTGGATGGAACCGCAGCTGAGAAATTGGTGCATCAAACTGCAATAACTTCTGCACAGATGATGCAAGGAGGCCAAGCTTTTGCAATGATAATAATTGAAGATTAGTTTTCAGAACCCCGTGAACTTGAAAGGATGTAATTTTCCTATATCCAGCATGGTGAGTTGTAGCGTCCATGTTCAAGCTTTGAAATAAGATATCAACAGCAAGAGGATAAAAATTTGAAAATTGTTCACACAATATTTCTGCTAATAGGGTCAAACACTTCCAAAAGTCTTCAATCCATTCAGACCATCCAAATTTTTGCCCAACCACTGATAAGCATCTCAACAAGTGAGGTAGCATTGTGCTAAGGGGTTCACTTATTTGTTCAAGAAGATTCATTTCCAGCAACCCAGAAGCAGTAGATTGCAGAATTGTTGAGAAGCAAGAAAGTAATGCCAGAAGCCTTCGAAATTGAGGTGGGGTTCCAGGTGTTCCATCTTGAAGCAAGACCTCCATGTCACCCAAAACTTTGTCAGTAACCTTAGAGACATAGCCAAGCTACCAACCCAATGTTTCTGAAATTGCAAGAAGCTATCCATTATAACACGCCTTTCTGATTCAGCAAGGTCTGGTACCAATGCCCATCCAAGAAGGAGGTCAACAATGTCTGGAAAATGAGGTTGAAAGCTTCTTGAGAATTTCACCGAGATCAATGTTATAATTCCCAGAAGTCGATGCAATAAACTCAAGGAGGTTCTCTCATCCTCAAAGAGTAGCTGGCATGCTTTGAGAATCGGCAAAACATACCTCTCAGATCCAACAACATCTCCAACATTAAGAAACTCTCGCAGACCATCCAACGCCAATTCCTTAGTCCCATCAACTGCACCAACATTACTTAATAATGGCAACGCCCAACCATAAACCTGTCAACTAAACTTGCAAGTATGACATGGTTCTGTCTTCCATTTGATGCAACAGGAATTGAACAAATGACAGCACAGAGAGCACCATAGGCTATAACTGCTGCCTGACGCACAGCATAAGATCTGTAGTGGGATTTCCCAAGAAGGGGGAAAATAATATTTCGGCAGTCATTATTTGGACAATGAAATGAAGGTCTAGTTCAGGACAAAAGCCTCTCTATTTGCTCATATTAACCACTCAAATAAAATCCCTGCTAAATAATAATGTAATATGCTGAGGGGCGAATTGATGGGACTAAAGCAGTATATTCATTAGCATAAAACGAAAAAAAACAGAGGGAAGAAGCCTTAAGAAAATGCTTGGAGTTCCCTTCTGCCTCTAACACAGTGTCTGTAAGACCTACAATTTGTAACATAAATTACTTCCCACAGCCGATGGATTCTTCTCTTACAAACGGAATGAACCATACAAAAAGCAAACGACTATTTTCACTCAAACCAGTTCAGCGGTAAAGATTAAACAAAAATCGACTAATAAAAAGGAGAATAAAATAAGAAAACGATACGCATAGCCAACAAATAAGACTGGTCAGGCAGACTCAAAATTAACCAATAGCCACAGAAACGGAAGGGGGGTACTTACTTATCAGACAGCAGTTGAGAAAAACCTTGGGTGAGGAAAGCGGCGGAGTGAGTGACAAGGAGCGAATTGTGCGGATATACAATTGCGCGGTGAAGTGAGTTAATGGCAGCGAGTCGAGGAGAGTCATCGTCGTCGGAAGGGGCGGTGGACGAGGATGAATCGTCCTTTGGAAGAGCAACGGAGAGAAGCGCTGCAAGTTGTTGCTGATGATGATGGAGTCCTTGCATCATTGTGTCGAAGATTATGGTTTGCATCTCGTGCTTCTACTCTGACTTCCTCCATATCTTGCACTGCTTCCTGCATTTCTTTTGCCCAGAGCACGTTAGCAAACACGAACGGATGGACCATTCCATGAAATTGCAATGGCGTGCAAGGGAGATATATTGATTTTTTTTTTTAATAATCCGGAGATATATTGATTTGATGATCTTTGTAAAAACTAAAAAGGTGTATCCGTGAAAATTTTAACATCTCATAAATTTTTAATTAATAGCAGACGTTGGCTTTAGAGGAATAGTAAAAATATAAAATTGAAGTAGCATGTATGATAATATTGAGATGACTATGAGAAACATATTAAAAAAAAAATCTAACATAAACATATTTAAAAACAATTAGTGTAACATTTATTAAAGGAAAGTAATAAAAAATTATTTAAGATAATTGTACATGCACATAAAATTAATAAGCAGAGAAAGGCTAATTTTGAACTTCATAAAGAGAAGTGGAAAAGGACCCAAAAAAAAATTTGTGAAAGTTATTAAATGAAATCTCTTAGTTGATAATAGAGTAAAGTATATATTTAGTTTTTTAAGTTTACGCAACATTTCATTTTAATCTTTTAATTTTATAAAGTATATTTTTGATCTTTTAACTTGTTAGTTTTATTTTAACAATGTTTACATTAAACTTTCAAATATTGATAAAATATTTTAGATATTGACATGTTAAGTTTAATTTTTCAAAATAACAATGACAAAAATAATCATTTAAAAGTAACAATGCTAGGGTTAAAAAATTAAAAAAGATACTTTACAAAATTAAATGATTAAATTGAAACTTTATATAAAGTTAAAGGGCTAAACATATACTTTAGCCTTCATAATATTGCTAGAAGGTTTCGTTCAACAATATTAATGATGATGTCTTAAGTTTTTCCTTTTCCTTGTCTGACCAGAAAGATCTTTTAGTCTGGACAAAGGCTAATAATGGAACTTACTTTGTGAAACAAGGTTTCTCTTTATTGAGAAATAATTCTTTGAGCTTTATGCAAGTTTAGGGAGTGGATTGGAAGAAGTTATGGAAAATTGATTTACCTTTTAGAGTTTTGCTTCTGTCTTGAAATATCATTCATGAAGCCATTTCTACTTTTGATATACTACAGAAACATCATCTTCAAATCTCGGCTCCTTGCATTTTTCAACGATGATGGAGAAGAAACTCGAAATCATATTTTTTCCCCCACTGTAATTATGCAAGATTTGTATGGTTTTCATCAAACCTTGCTCTAAGATATAATGAAATGGATGATATCAAATTTTTCCTTATATCCTAAATTAATCAAGCTTTATTAGATAGGGAATGGCTACATCAATTGAAAGAAATTCTTTTGTTAGTCTAGGCAATTTGGGATTTTAGGAACAAATTGAAATTTCAAGATGACAATATCAATCCCATATATGAACATGAAAAGGTTAATTGGTGCTTATCAAGCATTAACTTTTCCTCAACTAACTCAAACAATTCACCACTTCGTGTAGTAAAGCAATGAATGGAGCAGGTTCCAAGTGGATTGATGGATAATTGTTTTTTAAAACATGCAAGAGCTTGAGAAGGTTAGTTCATCTTTTTTTGATACTAGTGAGAAGAGGGACATGAGAAGACATAAGTGCATATTTAGTAAGTTTCTTATTTTTAAAGACTTTTGTTTATTAAATGGCAGAATTGGAAGGGCTAGTATGGAAGAAATCAAGTTCTTTTTTCCTCAAAGGAGTTGCACTCCGTTTTAAAATAGATAACTAATCTTGATGATTTTGGTTACCTAGTTTCTCTATTGTTACTATTGTTTTCATCAATGGTAAGAATTTGAAGAGTACTCTTATTCTGGCTGAAGGACACCCAGCTACTGGCATGATTTGGAAATATATTAACAAGCTACTTCATCTCTTTACATTCTCTTGGTTGGAATTATTGCCTAATCATTGGAAAAAATTGATGATTCAAAATAGCAGTTCACCTATTTGTATGAATTTTCCTTTTCATAGTTAAACTTTTTGTAGTTGTTTGTAATTCAAAAAAAAATATTGTTAAAAAGCTTGGTTGATGATAAAGTACAATGATATCATGTAATCTATATAATCAATTCCACTTAGGAAGATAAAGCTTGTTGTTATTGTTGAATGCATGCGTAATTTGCCTTTTTTATTGACATAAGATATTGATTTTATCAATTTTTGAAAAAATAGCTAATATAGAGTCACAAAAAATAGCATTTTAAATTTTGAGTTATTAACAAATAACTCACATTTAGAACAAAAGGTGTAAACACTTAAGTTTATACATTTAAACTGTCATTTTTCACTTAAATTAGAATTAGAAAATGTTCACACTTTTTTTCTTTTTTTGTTTGCCTGTGAGCATTATATGAGCATATATTTCCATGAGAAGCTCTTGCTCAATAGATCTAACTTATTGGGATAAGACTAGCTTCATATTTTAGATGATCAAATGTTGAACAAAAAAATGATATAACATTTAAGTATTTAATCAATGGTTCGCTTGTTTTACCTTTTTTGTAATAAAAACTATCTTATCTTTTAGAAAAAAAATCTATTTGGTGAGAATTTATGATATTTGTTTTAAATTTTGAAAATAATCAAAATAAAAAAAATAGATTTTTAAGTATTTTGAGAAGTTATTTTGAATAGCTTCTAAAAGTAATTATACAAGGAAGAATGTTAAGAAAATACGAAGACACATGAAAATGACATAAAATTTTAAAATATTAAATAATAAGTAATTTTTATAAAAAAAAGAAATCCAAGAATATACCATAAATTCTAAAAATAACTCGTTATTTTTAAAAAGGCCATTATTTCAATAACAAGTCGCTATTGTTTTTGCAAATTCTAGTTTTTATACTTACTAAAAATATAAACACCTTATTTTGTCTCCAAACCTATTACCCTTTGGAAAAAAATTAAAAAGTAATTTGAAGAATATGTAAATATAAAATATGTTAATATAATGTCATAAAAAATACAATATAAAAATATTTTTTAGATATTAGTAGTCATGGTTAACCATGCTTTACTTTTTTTTTTTAAGGGAAAACACAATCAATTGTCCTTATAGTTTCATCGAGTTGTTTTTATTCTTATAGTTTTTAAGTGTTTTCAATGCCATATTTAATAAGATCGAGTTTGTTCCTCAAATCCCTATAATTTTAGTGTTTTCAACCTTATATGCAACATCTCAAAATTTAACACAAGGGTTAGATTAATTAATTAAGGCATTTAATGAGTTAATTTCTTTAACTAAAGGTTAACTTTAGAGTTGGGAAGGCTTTTTAGGCCCATTGAATCGGGGTTTAAAATAGGATTTGGAGAACTATTAAGTTGTTTTGGGCCCAAATTATTAGGCCTAAATTAAGGTTCCTAAAACATGCCATACACTATGTTGGAAATGTCAAATTTTAAATTATGTAGATGCATTTCGATCAATATAATTGAGGGAGATTTTTTAGAGTTTCAAACGAGAGAACATGAAGAAAGCTATGCTTGGGTTTATCTTGGAGGTAATTTAGAGGATATCTAAAGCTAGAAACACTTTGGGTAAGCTTCCTTCTTCCTTCTTCTCTCTTCTTACTTTTTCTTGGAGTTTTCTTGTGGCAGTGAAGGCCATCCAAAATGGCAGCCAAGTTACGACATTTTAATGGCTCCAATGAAGTCCATAAGTGTTCTTAAATTCCTTTAATCATGAGTTTGAGTGGTTGATAGCATTTAATGCCATCAATGAGGGGTTTAAGATTAACCCTAACGTTAAATAGCTAGATTAAGTTCACGGGGTTAGTTATCAATTATTTTAAGTTTAATGAAAGTTAAATAAATTAATGGAAGTGAGTTTTGTGGTTTGATTCTACTTAGTCATGTTTATTGAAAGTCTAAGACCTTAATTGTAATTAAGGTTAATTAATGACGATTAGTCATTAATACAATTTGTTAATTATTAACTGTAGATTGACTAATTAGAGCTTTTCATGCTTGTTGGGAAGCTTTCTTGGAATCCAAAACTATATTCTTAAGAGGGTAACCTAAAAGTTAAGGTAACTGGGAGTTAAATTTTTGTAGATAATTGTTATTTGCAATTATGAGTTGTATATTATTGATTGTGTTGACTCCAATGATACTAATATGTAATCTTGTTATTATTGAACATTAAGCATTATGTGATATGTGGCTATAAGTTTGTTGATAATGAACCATAGTGGTTGATTTGTTTTTGGTTGTGTGATTATTAAGCTTGATGGGAAGATGGCATTATGACTATTGAAATCTTAATGAGTATTGCTTATAGTATATGAATTAATATGTGTTATGTGTATAAGGATGTAGATAGTGGTTAAGTGATTGAATATTTATGGTACGATGCTAACAACAGAGTATGAATACATGCATTGATAGTGTAATCTTGTACAAGAAAAAAATTGTTAAAGGATATAGTGATGATATGTCATGAAGCATGGCCTTATAATATTGATATGAAATTTAAATATTAGTTTTTTCTCCTTAGCTTGATAATATGTGCATGATTATGAAATAAGTTAATTAAGTTTACATTTATGAAACGTCATCAAGTAATATGAGCATGTTGCATGATCATGGATAGGTGGGATTCCACTCGAGTGAGTAAGGGCATTACAGAAGATCCACATGGTGTAGCCTTCACTGAGATTTGCGCACGATAGTTGACATATTTGATTACAGTGTATGCCCATTGTCAATTAGGGACATAATATGTGAGCACGCTTGCCAAGGATCACAGTATAGGTCATGGCAACTATGACACTCTAGTATTTGAGGTAAAGGAATCCATAGTCTGAGAGTTAGGACCCCTCACAATTAGAGGGTAAGTCTAATCCATTCACACGAGTTGATCCTATATGATTTGATAGTTTTGTAGATTCAGTTGAAAGATATAATAAGAGGAATAAAGATGGAATGCATGTGATCATACAT